TTCAAGTTCTCTTGACTGATTGTTAACTTGAAGCTTTTGCAAAAATTAGCTCCATGTCTGATAATGCCTGGCAAATTGCATGACGGACAAAAGCTCAGTTTGTAATCTGATTTAGACGCGTACAGAAACACACATACGGACCTTCAATTATAAATATTCTGATTTATATGAAGGAGAAGTACCTACATTATTATGTTTATATTTTTGTCTTAAGATATGAGTATGCATAGCGCGTTAGTTAGTCTTCTTGATTCAATGATACTTGAGGCTTCAAGTATAACTTCATCATGAACTTTCATACGAAATAGAAATTTATACAAATAATCTACAAAAGATTCGCGAAACCCATCTGATCCTCGTAGCTACGCTTTCTATTTGCCATTAAGGCTGTCTTGGCTACTCGTTTTCAAAGTGAGTAGTTCTTCAGGCTAGAGGTATATCTTGCATTAAAACCTTATTCTCCCTTTGGACTTTAGAGCACTAACCAGACGATTGTTGGCGTGGCATCTGGTAGTCTGTCCAGTTAATTAAAGAAAATATGTCAAAAATGGCAGCTCACCAACACTATAAAGCTAAAAGAGACTGCCACCAAACACAAGGTCACACCATTTTGGTCTTTATATCGACGATCTAAAGACAAGCAAGTTGGCTGGAGGAAGCTTCTTCCGGCTCTTTTCAAATAAATGTGCAGAAAAATTGGGTTTTGGAGTATCTTTCATTTCGATTGAAGAGGCGAGTGGAAGGTGTTCGTAAGTTGGTCTCATCGGCAACTGTAGAGGCATTGCCTTGAAGCTGTGCTTGTAGATTTATGCAAATAGGCCCTCGGCAACTGCCCTGCGACCCCGATGAATCCTTGCTGAGCTTTATCCATCATATAATTACCGGTAAATCACATATATGAGATCTGTTCATTCTATTTCGTTTAAGATGATGGGAAACTAGTAGTTGAATTTGTACACAATGATATGATTATACCTTGCGTAAACATTGACTTTCACACAGACTTGCTTCCCAAAAGATATTCTCATTCCACCTAGAGTAGACTGCAGTTGCGACCTCGATAGAATCTCGTCTGTACTCCTTTCAGGACTCGAACCATGCCAATACAGAGTATACTCTCGACACGTTAGCAACTACGCCACAATGTCACGAGTTCACTTGTGCCACAGGGTAGATGTGAATTGCAAGGAAGGCTAGGCATTTTCCGAAATCATATTCCGCGGTAAATTAAAGTTGTATTTGCTATAGCAAACGGCAACATTACTTATTTTTTGTTTTTTTTTAGGCTGTCGAGACTACCAGTGGATCATATATATAAAAATATATATCATCTCATCTCATAGCATCTCATCTAATATCAATACATCACATCTCATCTTATATCAACTCATCTTCACTCAGATCATCTCAATTCATCTCATATCATCTTATCACATTTTAAATTATTTCATCTCATCTCATTTTATCATATCTAATATCATTACATCTCATCAAATCACATCAAATCCCATCTTATATCATCTCATCACATCTAAACTCGACTCGATTAATGTCATCTCATCTCAATTCATTTAAACAAATCTAATATAAACTCATCTCATTTCATCTCATCTTATCTCATTTCATCTTATCTCATATCATCTCATCTAATCCTATCACATGTCATCTCATGTCATCGAATCACATCTAAACTCGACTCATATATACATATATGTATATATATGTTAGATCTATTTACCTCTATTTCGTTTAGGGTGATAAGGTGAAATATAATGGAAAGGTCAGGTCATTGTGGGAAAATTCAACTACCCGTCCCATTATTACTTTGGGTGATTAAGGGTAAATAAATCCCATATAGAGTCAAATTTTCTTCATGAATGTGACGATCTTCTTGCATTTGGAGATGACAGATAATTTTCGACGACTTGCAGAGCCTCAGACAGAATCGATTGGTCATGAATGTGTAAACCAAGGCATTCAAGTAATTTTGACCTGCACAAAAGTCCACACCTTAACGAGGAGAACTTGTTTCCTCTTAGTCTTAGCAGTTAGTAAATCGTGGCCGAAATCTGCGGTTGAATTGTTTTTCATCAAATTGACCGTGTCTGTCTCCACAGGATTCTTATACCCTTTGAGTGGGATTCGATCCAAAGCCCCTGTTGGCGGTGATTACGTCTGGAACCAAACACGCTTTGAGTATGCTTCTTTTTTAGACCACATTTTAACTACGAAAGCGAAAAAAGAGCGTTATATGTTGAATCCGTCCCTGATTGACACTTTAGTCAGCTTTTGTAGGTTTGGATGATAAAGGAGTTGCATTTACTTTGATCTAAATGAGATGATTAGGTCTCATGATGCAATAGACCTTTTCCCAAAAAGTGGTTTTATCCATACTAAACTAAACTGCTGTTTTAACCGCGCCTGCATTCGTCTCATTCGTACCTCCAACGGAAGTCGAGCACAGGTTGAGATAGTAGAGCGTATACTTTTGATATGTTGTAGCTAGAATGCCAGTCGGTTACGAAAAAAAGTGAATATCTTGATTTTGTGTCTCTTCGTGATTGCTGGTAAATAATGGTTTCTGTCTCTGAATATGTCAGTCACATGACTAAAGACAGTTCAACACGGAGTTGTCGCAACACGATGATCTGAGGTCATTATGCACAATCCAACAGTCATAAGTCCAAGGCAACCCTCCTTCGGTATCCGGTTTTGCCAATTCACGAATCCCTTCCACCTGCTTTTGCAAACGAAATAAAACGTATGTCAGAATCAAAAATGATATCCAACCAAAACCAGGCCCCTCGCACTTTCCATTTTCATAGTGGGCTTGTCACTGAGGCAAGCATATATTTACCATTACAATCAACAGCATTACTTGCATTCTAATTAAGTAGGATGTCGAGACTCTCAGTCGATCTTGACTAAGAGCTTTAGTCGGCCTTGGTTGCTAAAGGTGATGATACGATCAAAATGATTTCCACTTAGCTTTACTTTCAAAAGTTATGCTCATCCAGACTGGACTGGACTGTTTTTATCACCATCCCTCAACGGGCTTTAAACCCAAGTTGTGCGTCGCATAACTTCAATGTGTTGCCAGGATAGTTTTAAGCTCTACGGATGGTTTTAAAATGCCATTGTCAACTCGATTTGCCTGGTTTTTGCTAGACCTTGACCAATCAACCTCGAGTAGATGCTTCAGCAACGACAATGGAGCCGTCCGCCCCCGTTAGTCTTGAGCGAAGGACTCGAACTAGGTGCTTCTATCTGACTCCCTGTGGTAGGACTTAGAGTGGACGAACAAAAGAATTATGTTTGTAATTGTCTGTCAATCGGTTTTCCGCAGACTCTCTTTCGACCCCCCAACCCCACCACCGCCTTGGCTACCAACCGATCACCTCGCGCCCACATCCATCACCCCTGGGCCCCAGTGATTGGCCTCCCCCTCTTCTTTACTAAAGCAAACACGCCCACATGCAAGTGCGCATGCCGGCTCGAGACTGGTCTCTTTGCTGGCCGGCCGGTTCGAAACCCTGCCTCGTGCCGAGACATGTTAAACCTGCGCTGGTACAGCCTGAACTGGATCGGACTACAACAGTGTCGGGTTGTGTTGACACGCGACAACTCAACTGCCGGTGCTGTTTTGCGCTATCCTCGGTTGCTATGCCCAGCTTGTCTGAAGGTGAAATGGCCACCGGCTTGTCGGCCGAATGGGCGGATGGACAGACGGAGGGATGGACGGATGCACACAATGGCAGACCGGATGATGGCTTCTTGATTTCGGGCTGGCCAAACAGGTTGCAAATGAGTCAGTCATGGCATCGTGATCGCGTTTGGTGTGCTCCCGGCCCCGGTGGGTCTGTTGACGGACCAACCCTCGACTCGATGTGACGATCAACAACAGGCGGGCCGAATCAGAATGTTGGTTGCATGGGACTGCATGTAGGGAGCATCGGTGCACACCGACACGCTTCTGTATCAGCCTGGTGATAAGTGGTGATGAGGATGTGTGTGCACACAATCGATCAATCTATCAAATGTCACCCGTGCCTACACGCGTGTCCATTTGCATGTGCATGTGTGTATTGATATATATTGGGCAAGATTATTCGCTTATGTGTTACACAAAGTCATGTCAATTACTCAGCCTCCGGCCATGACGCATGACTCCAACACGTGTCCAGCCCGGCCCGAGTTATCTGTTCGCCGAGGGGAGCCAAGTAACCGCCTGGAGACCGCTGGTACCGGAGACAATTGGGTGTCCGTGTTGATGCTGCTGGTGTCTGCAACGACGGCAGATAGAGAAGCCAGGTAACCTGGACCTCCCGTGAGACAATGGCAAAGTGATCAGACGACAGGGACATACAGAGTTTAGGATATTTTATCAACTCACCAAGGCGCAAGTGCACCTAAAATGTTGACTCTTTGTAACGATCAATTTGTTAGCTTTGCTGAAAATGGTTTTATTTGTGCACATTACATGACGTTCTAGGCTAAAGCACGATGGGGAATATGGTCATTTATAAAGTTGTGTAGTAGTCGAATCAACATTCAAATAAATTATCATATCTAAAAAAGGTCTTGATTTCTGGCAAAAATTCTACTCAAACGTTAGAAATGTTGTTTCGGATTGACCTTATTTTTGCAACTTGTTCAGAGCATCAGGATGACCCTATGTAACGTATCTCGTCCTAAGTCCTATGGTACGGTATTTGTTATTTCCAGCATCAGACCATTGATTTGGTACATTCCCAGAAATGTTGGAATGTTAGCAATGTTGGCATTAAATGTATATATAAATGCCTTCTAGATAGACATATAGATTGGGCCTACCTTAAGGCTGTAGCTCCAGTTCTCTTTATACTTCTTTCATAGACCAAGCAATTTAAAATCACAAATATGGTGACCAATTCGTAGTGTCATTTAACCTTTTTGATTTTGTATGACCTTGCTTTGGCTACTTAATCGGGGCGATGGATGGGTCTTGTTTAGCTTACCCAATCCTGCGCCAAATTTACAAACGATGTGTAAAAAGTGGTTTCCGAAGTATCCGTTAAAAGCTTAAAATTGGGGTACTTTCCATTTTGTCTGAATAGTTAAGCCGTAGGGATTCGTAAATTGGTCTTTCTGACAATCCTTCTTCGGCTTC